GGGGAGCGGGGTGAGGATGAGCAGCGTGCTCGAGGTGCGCCTTGGCGGCAGCGGGGGCGCCGGCTCATGGGGCATGGGAGGAGCGAGGCAAGGTGGATCCACGTGCGGACTTCAGTGAGAGGGAGGAGAGCGGCGGTATGGGGGCGTAGCGTGGACTCGAGGCAAGCGACCACGGCGGCGAAGCCGTACCGGCGCTCAACCTCATCGGCCCACGCGAGGAGCCCGTCCGCGGACACGGCGGTGGGGACATGGCGGCGAGGAGTGGGGAAGGGAGGGGCGGCGCTGAGGGCTGCGGTCCAGCGTGGGACCATGGGGCTCACATGCGCTCATGCTCGCAAGGGGAGGGCCGGCGATGGGCGGGCGTGAGGCGCGGCGTGGTGGTGCATGACCACGGTGGTTGATCGGCTTGGCAAAGGCATACAAAAGCAAATAGCGATAGACAGAGACAAGTAAGGCAGACAGAGACAAGCAAGGCTGGCGAACAGAGGTAGAGATCGGGAGAGTGAGAGAGAGCAGAGGCGAGGATAGCAGCTCGGTAGGTGGGATGAACGACTGGGAGCCGGTGGGGCGAGGTAGTTGAGGTGAGCGGCTGAGATCGCTCGCTACAGTTGTCGGTTCACGAATATAGCGCCAACGACATGCCCTCAACGCAATCTAGCGAAGTTCGGTCAATATTTAAGTGAGCATCGTAACTCTAACGTAACCATGACCTGTACCACGTCCTAGTATACACCTAACTGTAACCGATCGTGCGAAAACATAGATGTAGTGCTTAACCATTTTTGTTGGAAATTGAATGCCAAAATGGCATTGTCTACTATCGTTTCGTACTTGAAAGAATTCACGATTTCAGTTAGAACTAATGTCCCTAAGCACTTTTGGTTGACTTTTTAAACAGTCAAAACTTTACCAAACTTCACCAACAACCATTTCACGACATAGCACACACTTTATACCAAACAATAGAACCAAAACATCAGGGCATTATTTAACTATTTTTGCATTTTATAAATCGCCAAAGAGCGTACTTTTAACACAACTTCAATTTTTTGCCGATTCAACGAGAAGGGCTAATTTTAATTTCCAATTCATTTTTTGAGCCATCAGAAATACCATGGAACAACATCTATTCACCAAATCAACGGTTGTATTTTCATCTACTAAACTTGCACTTCAAATTTCATTTAAGTACCAATTACAAGTCATATTTTATTTTTGTTTATATAAAAAAATTATTTTTCGTGCCAAATGATTAAATCTACCCTTCTATTTCCTTGTCGGGATTTTCATTAGCACCTTAATGCGAGTTCTAACTCTAACACCCAAGAAACCTACCTTGGTAAATTCTCTTAGGCCTTAATCTAGGTGCTAAGCGAGCTCGTAACACCAAAGGTGTTACAAGAACCCTCACAATCACAACGATTGGAGCCGGAGACAATAACCAACCTCCGTTCGATGATCCTCACTGCTCCAAGCCGTCTAGGTGGCGGCAACCACTAAGAGTAACAAGCGAATCCCGCAACGAAACACGAACATCAAGTGCCTCTAGATGCAAACACTTAAGCAATGCATTTGGATTCACTCCCAATCTCACAAAGATGTTGAATCTATGATGGAGATAAGTTGAAGGGCTTTGGCTAAGCTCACAAGGTTGCTATGTCAATGCAAATGGTCAAGAGAGTGAGCTTGAGTCGGCCATGGGGCTTAAATAGAAGCCCCCACGAAATAGAGCCGTTGGCTCAATTATTGGGTTGACTGCGCATCGACCGGACGCGCAGCTCGCGTGCACCGGACGCATCGATCGTGTATACCGGACGCGTCCGGTCACTCCCTGACCGCCACGTGTCTAATTTCAAAATGAAGTAGCCGTTGTTGCCCACACTCACTTGCGACCGGACGCTCTGACCGGACGCTGAGTTAGAAATGACCGGACGCTAAGCCACAGCGTCCGATCGAGTCTAGAGAGTACCCGGGGCCGACCGGACACGTCCGGTCACTCCGGATCGGACGCTGCCAACGTCCGATTAACTATTACACTGAACACCGACTTCGCTGATTCACACCGGACGCGTCCGGTGTGGTGACCTGATGCGTCTAGTCGCACTCTACGATCCAGTACCGAGCCACATACCGGACGCGTACGATCGCCATACCGGACGCATCCGGTCACTCTGTGACCAGCGCGACTACCTCCTCTTCAACTCTATCTTCTTCACCCTTGCTCAAATGTGCCAACCACCAAGTGTATCATCTTGTGCACATGTGTTAGCATATTTTCACAAACATTTTCAAGGGTGTTAGCACTCCACTATATCCTAAATGCATATGCAATGAGTTAGAGCATCTAGTGGCACTTTGATAACCGCATTTCGATACGAGTTTCACCCCTCTTAATAGTACGGCTATCGAACCTAAATATGATCACACTCGCTAAGTGTCTTGATCACCGAAACAAAAAGGCTCCTAACATTTATACCTTTGCCTTGAACCTTTTGTTTTCCTTTCTTCTTTTCCAAGTCCAAGCACTTGATCATCACCATGGCAACACCATCGTCATGTCATGATCTTCATTTGCTTCACCACTTGGAATGTGCTACCTATCTCATGATCACTTAATAAACTAGGTTAACACTTAGGGTTTCATCAATTCACCAAAACCAAACTGGAGCTTTCAAAAAGGCCAGTGAAAAAATCAACACAAGATGATCCGCCGAGTTTCTCTGAGAGGCACTGGATCATCCGGTGGCCATTTTCTTCCTATTTTTCCCATGGTCACTGCTATGGGTGTCGAATATTCCTCATCGGATGATACGCTGCAGCATTAAGGTTCTCAACGGATCATATACGATGCATATCGGTAGTCATGTCCAAGTTGAACTAACCATTGCACAGATGATCTACTAGGCCCATCAAGGTGCCATCGAGTCATACTATGCAATATAGTAAGCATGTCGAACTTGGATTGATCCTTGCACAACATCATTGAATTATCTTCTGTGAGTCATACATGATCCATCATCATATCGTCTTGTAGGCAACACTGCCTAATACACCATGCAATGCGATGTCGCTAGATGATCAAATGGCCTTAATCACTCGTCTGGTAAACTTAAAACTTCAATTCTTACTCAATTTGAAGTTTGAACTCATCCAATTCAACATATTTGAGATCCTTCACTTATGCTCTATCCGTTTGTGCCACTCTTGATCAACTTGCTTAGACTTTCTAGAGGCTGGAAAACCGAACCACCACTAAATTTATCATTTATAGAGGCGGCTAAGCTTTTCGTCCACATCTAGAAATGCCAACATTCCTAAAGATGGCCAGAAATTACACCAGTCTGTAGAAATTGATTTCTAAAGGCGGTTGGCAATTTGGCTCGCCTTTAAAAATAAGTGTAGCACAAGAAAATTCGTAACATTTCTAAATTAAGTCGAGTGAAGACAAATTTTATATCAAAGTTATAGTACTCAAAGAGATATGCATCTTTATAATTGATGGCCTTTTCATTTTGAATTATTTAAGTCCCAAAAAATTGATTTTAAGTTTTCATAATTTTTTTACTTTTTCAAATGACCTCGAATGGAGAAACTACATAAACCAAAGTTTTAGCCTCCAAGAGATCTACAACATTGCACTTAAATACATTTTCATTCGAAATCATTTAGGGCTCAAAAATTCTGTTTTAAGATTAATGATTTTGAAGTTAATAGTTTTTGAATTTTTTAAATGATCTTAGATGGAGAATGACCTAAACCAACATTGTAGTACTTGAAAAAAATCTACAACTTATTTTTAGAGTTTGGAAATTTTGTTTTGAATGCACATATTGTGAAATTCATTTTTTGAATTTTTCAAATGACCTGGATGGAGAAAGGACCTACACTAAAGTTGTAGTACTCGAAGAGATTTAAACTTTTCGGTTCAAAATTTTCATTTGAGTCTGTTTAGAGTCTCAAATATGCATTAAAATATTTGTTAAAGTGAATAGAAAAAGTTGTCTCAAATATGCATTACATTATTTGTGACTTGGGACGTGTGACTGCAAGGGGTTGCTTGGTGGGCTTCTCCCAAGGTTTAAAAAAATGTTTTGCAAATTTTTTCGGTGTAATTTGCTAATTCTATAAAACAATTTCTAGAGATGGCTGGATTTTGGCCCGCCACTAGAAATTGATCTTTAGGGATAGCTGAATTTCGGCCTGCATCTAGAAATTAATTTCTAGATGAAGCTAGACACTCACCTGTAGAAACCATTTATTTCTAGAGACATAGAGGTAGAGACGGGCTAATAAGCAACTGGCTTTCCGTGGTAGCGCTAGCTAGAATGAGAAAGATTCCAATACTACGTTACACTAACATTTGAAGGTCTTTGGTGGTGTACCAAGAGGCAGGGCTAGCCATGCTTAACGAGATCGCTTGCACGTGACATATCTTAGATAGTTTATTGGAAGCAATGCACTCGATCTTCTAGAAGACCTGAATGTATTAAACCAAGGTCCAGCTAGCTCGCTGGTTAAAAACCATTCTATGACGGCTGCGCAGATCCTACAGGCAGCTTCCAATGTCTAGATGCGTGATTTGAGATCTGATCTAGTGTTCAGATCGAGCATGCAACCTCGCCGCTGCAAAGCCGGCGATGTCAGCGCACACACATATACAAAAATGAGAAAGGAGAAATGGCAACTTTTAAATAATAAAAGAAATATAAATAAAGAACTACTCGTATAAGATACAATGAGAACTCAATGTCACCGACAACATCGACGATAAACCGAAGCATCGCCATCACTGCTAGAACTGAACTTCCACTAGAATGTAATTAAGCTAATTAAGAACGACGCAATGCCTAGCTAGCTGCTTATTACTTACTGCCTGGATCGACAGAGATCGATCCAACGTACGCAGTCTCGTGCGTTCGACGGCGGCGTCGAATTGAGCGTGCACGCCGACCACGGTGGTCTCGCCTGTGTCCAACGGTATTGGAAGAGGTCGCCGGCCATCAGTAGGGGCACTGGCCTTTGGCGGCGGGGGCGTAGAAGAGGACGCTGGTGGGGGTGTAGATGCCCTGCAGCCCCGCCGGCGGGATCGTCCTGGTCTCCCTCACCAGGGAGAGCCCGATCCTCTGGTTGGGCGGGTAGTAGGGCTTGCTGCACTGCGGCGTCGGCGACGAGAGCAGGTACATCTTGCACGTCCTGGCGTTGAAGTTCTTCATGTCGTAGAACATGATGAGGAAGTAGCCGTTGGCGTCCGTCACCGTCCCCGTCGCATTCACCACCTTCCGCCCGTAGCACACCATCATCGCCGTCGCCCCTGCATGCAATGCATGCGCAACCATGTAATGCGTGCATATTATATGCTCGGAGATCAACAGCTAGCGTTTGTCGCGCACACGTAGCTATGCACAATGCGGACCGTACCATGCAGAGGCGACGCATCTATGCCGGTGTTGTAGCCCTTCCCCTTGCAGCTCTTGCAGTAGATGGTGCCCTCTACGATGACGAAGGGAAGCGGCGGCGGCGGCGGAACGAGGGGCAACAACGGCGGAGTGGCGTTGCTGTAGGCTGAAGGCGGCACGGCATTGTCGCCGGGCGACGACTGCGGCGGTGACGCACCATTGTTCACGGGCGGCGATGGCGACGGCGGCAGGGCGCTGTCGTAGGCTGATGTTGGCGCCCTGGCCTTGTCGTCGGCGGCCATCGCGTGGCGGGCGGGGACCAGCAGCGCCGCAGCGACGAGCGTCATCGCTAAGGCCAGAAAGGCCTGGCTACTCAGTGAAGCGAAGGCCATCTTGGTTCTTGGCTTGGCACGCTCTTTGACTAACAATTACTAGCTCTTAACTGAAGAGCTGGAGTTGGAATAATGAACTGGGTGACTTGCGTGCTCTCGGACACGAGCCAATTTATAGGGCGATCGATCTGGGTCACTGTGTCTCCGTCCACATGGCTGCTTGTTGCCGTTTGACCAGACGAACAGCGCGCAAGTTCAGCTCAAATCAGATTCCGTTCACAGTTAATGCTTAATGACTTTGTTGCCTTGCGAGAGCAGGCTGCATTTACTATATTAATGCAGGATTTTAGGAGCAGAGAGAAGAAGAAGCTTGCCCCTTGTCATCTCGGCCGGCTGTCTGGAGCAGATGAGTGGGAACAGTAAAAAGTCCCGTTCGAACGGAACGGCCATGCCACTGGCAGCAACGTTCTTCTCCGCCTCGTTGTCCCGTCAGAAATGCTCGGTTTGCGGGTGGAATGCATCGAGAACTGAAAGAAATCGATCCGTTCGAGCACTGAATATGAATGCGCGAGGCCATATCGGTTTGCGCGGCGAAGAGACTCGGTTTGACCGCACCGTAACGATCGTTGCCCCTCCTGCGGGCAGCAGCTCCGCGTGCCAGCCGCTTGTTTAAGCTCCCCCGGCAATAAATGCATCGCTAGTTTATCTGCAATTTGCTCCATCACACGCTGGTTTATTGCGTGTCAGGTGCTTAGCTGGTGCAAGTACTACTAGTAACTTCATCGATCGCGGCGCTGACCGTTTCACTTTCACCCGTAGAAACACTAGCACTAGCATTCTGACGCCGACGAGCAGGAGGTCTGGGATGTGTAGCAGGAAAATTGCCGCGTACCGTAGCTCTGCAATGGAGAAGAAGCAAGAGACATCTACAGGACGTTTACAGGATGTCAATTTACAGAACGTCAATCTTCTCATCGACAACACAATAAGTCGCAGAAGCTGCACAAAGAAGATCACCCACAAGCCACAAGTAGACCTGGCCATATCATTGGTACATACGACCATTCTTAGCTGAATGTGTACAGCACTCTAGAGCTTCATCACACAGTAATCAAGATCAACAGGGAGATAAATTAAGTGGTTACTAATAAACTTGTTAAACAGGCTCCACAGGCTTAGGGGCTGTTCGGCAGGACTGAAAAATAAGACAAAATACTGTTCCGGCTGATTGTTGTGAGGGAAAATACTGTTCTGTCTGACAACACTGTTCATGTGAACAGTGTTTCGTGAGTGCGCTGGCCAGCCCAACCGAAGCCAGCAAGCCGAACGCGGCCTTACTCTACAAGGTCTTGTCTCTACTTTTATGAAGCACTAGATCAATGTCCCTAATGTACACCTTGAACGGGGCAATCTTTTCCTTTTATGAAATGGAACCCGCACGAGAACCGCCTTTTATATTAAAAATAAGTATATCTAGATAGGAACTATATAAGACTTCAAAAAATGTACATGATTTCATAAAAGAAGAGAGAAATTGAGCCCGCAAAGAAAAAACTGGTGTGTGAGCATAGATAAATGGATAGGGATGATGATAGATGTCTAGGATCATTTAGGCGTGGATCAGTGGAGTTTTTCTTTTCTATTCGGGATAAACAAGTAGTTCGTCCTAGAGAGAGAACTAGAGAGAGAGAGAGGGATGTAGGGAGGTAGACCATCGGCCGGCTTGATCGGAGGAGGAAGCCATGACGCAGGTTTCGATGACGCGGGTGTTGGTGTAGGGTAGCAGCGGTGTCGAAGGCGCAATGGAGGCACGGTCCAGTGGCGGCGGCAAAAGCGGTGGAGCTTCTCGTCGCTCACAGCGCGCCCTCTCGATCGGACTAGGGTTAGGACGTCGGTGGGAACTGGCGACCGCGGTGAACCTCGTGTCTCGAGCCCTAGCCCCCACCTCCTATTCATAGCGCTGCGCGACGGGGGCCCACCAGCCTAGAGAATGGCTGGGCGCCCCCGATCAAGGCACGAGTCAGGGTCCGACTCGGTCGTTGGACCGAGCCAGGTGGAGATCAATCTAACATTCTCCCTCTTGATCTCACCTTTTGACTTAAACTTATTTCACTTTATTTGTTTCCCATTCCATTACAGATTAGTACATAGAGCATGCCTTGTCATAACAGTTAGTACCGTTAGATTAACAGCTACAATACATCTCTCTGTTTTGAAACATATTCTCAACTAGGTCCTAAGTATCCAGAAATCATAGGCTTTCCCGTAAATCTATGTCGACTGTGTGTTCTCTGAATATACTGGGCGATTAGCCTTTGGTAAGCGGATCCGCAAGTACTTGCTCAGTACTTATAAGCTCAATGCTTTCAAAATGATTTTGGATTTTCTCCTTTACAAGATATAACTTAATGTTAATGTGTTTGTCAGCACACTTGCCCTGATGTCATAGGAGTTAACTACTTTAAATGGTTATTGTTGTTGTCTACCATTGTTAAATTCAGGTACAAATTCCCTTAACCACCTTTTGCCTGTTCCTGAAGCCTCATGACAAGCTATACTATGGATATGCATCATTGATGATGTAACACCCTTGTTGTTACACCGTAAATCACTTACTAAAATATGTCATAAGCATGATGTTTATGTGTTAATGCATGTGATAAAGTGTATAGATCAATTTCTGTAACTCAAAACGATCAACTAGTATGCGAAACGAAAGTTAATTCAATAGTCATGTTATATCACTTAAGGTTGAAAACTAATTTTTATTAAGAAAAAATGCTATGAAACATGTATGTGATACTTAAGTAAAGTTTGAAGTACAAACTTTATAGATGACAATGAAATACTTGCGGTCGAAAAATGATATCACTAGCTAATATTTCCACTAGCATAGAAATCGCAATTGGAAACCAAATTCAGCTCTCAAACTTAGGAAATTTTCGAGTCTGCCGACTGTTAGACACTGCTATGTTTGGCAATTTATTGTGAGAGATTAGGTTAAGGAGTGGTGTAGTGTTATAGCTCTATTTTGTAGTCTTATGTGCCATCTAGTGCATGGTGAAGATGGTTTAGGTTTAGGAGCAACCGTTTGGTCGTGATGAATGCTTTAAAATTCGTGCGTGTCACTGTCTCGAGCGGTCTATCGCCGTGGGCGCGGTGACCATGTGGCCACCCCACGCGCGCACATGGTTGCGTATGCCCACGCTGCCACGCACGGCCAGCTGTGGCCGCCTCTGGCTTGGCGAAGTCTCAGCTGCCGCTGGCCCCGCGCGCACAGCTGCTGCTGCTGCCGACTGCCCCGCACGCACCGCGACAGAGCCGCTGCCGGTGCCATCAACTCGTCATCGCCTCCGCACTGCCACCCGCATCGCATCACGACGCTGCTGCTACCGACGCCACTACGACGCTGTACTGCTGCCACTTGCCTTGTCCTAGTTTGCACGTGGGCTGCCCCACGCCGTCGTCCCGCCTTAATGGTGCTGTGGCCGCGCCTGTCGCGCCCCCACATGCCTCCGCACGCACACGTGGTTTGGCCGTAGTGTCGTGTAGCAGGCGCCTAGACGCCGCCTTAAGTCCAATCGGCCACCTCCCGCCAGGGCGTGGATGAGCCGAGCCCTCTGCCGTGTTGTTTCTCTCTCCCTCTACTTTCCGCCATCGCCGAGTCGTGTCATGGTGAAGCCAGAGAGCGAGCACCTCTCATCAATTCCTCTTGCTCGCGTCTCCGCCTTCATGCCCCCTCTCCAGCCGACCCTACTCCGCCTTGACTCGCATCACGCCGAGCTCCAATTTTGGAATGTTGCCGTCGCTGTGCCATTAAGGCCCGTCGCCGCCCGCGTCGTGGCCAGTCTCCACCACTTCACCTCTCATCAATTCCTCTACACCGCTAGCTCGCCTTGGCTCCCTCGTCGTCGTGCGCACGCTAGTCGTAGTTCTAGTGCCGCCTCCTCGCCGTTGACGTGGCCATGCCTTTGCAGTCCACCGTTCACCTCACCATGCGCACGTGGCCAGCCTCGCTCGGGTCATCTTCGGATGAGCCAGCTTCTTGGTAAGGTCACTGGTGAGTTGTTGTTGCTCACCCGCTACCCTATCGCCTTAATTGTGGCTCCGGCTAACTTGAACGCCATCGCCATTGCCGCAGGGTGTCCGCCGTCGTGGAGAGGTCCTTCTACAGCGTCTCGGCTCGTGCAGTCACCGCCCATCGTCTCACGTCGAACCCGAGGTGAGCGTTGGTCTCATAGATAGGTCAGCGGGGGTCCCATGTGGCCGACGTAGGCGTCGGTGCCATTGCTCGCCGCGCTGGAGCGCGCGGGGAAGGCCGAGGACCTTGCCAATGTAAAGAGGAGGAAGTCCCGAGGGTTTCATTGCAAAGTCGTTGTCAGTAGAAATAGTAACGTGGATTGTGGGTTGTTTTGTTCGTAGTCCAGGGGCGTTTTTGTTAATGTGCCAGCGCGCGCAGGCTCCCCACCGTGGGCCACCTCCATGCGTGGGCCGCGCCTTGCCTATGGGCCATCACGCGCTCGCGCGCGCGCGTTGCGCTGCGTGGGCCGCGTTGGGCCGAATTGAGTTTATCTTTTTCGTGGAGAATAGAAAAAGCTTTTTATTTATATTTCTGAGCTGAACTTTGGTAATTAATATAAAATAATATAGATGTCCAAAAATTATGAAACCAATTTTGTTAGGTTCCTAAAATTGTGCTCTCTGTTGGTGTATTTATTTCATACATATCTGTGCTGATGCTAAGGTCTATTAAATCATTTGAGAAGTGCTTAATATTATAGGTTAATTATTGTAGGAATTTTTGTGGCAAAATGGTAATAGCTTTAGCTTTAAATTTTTTACAGTAGTTTTATTGTATTATTATGTGCTCACTATAATTTTTGTAGTCTTAGAATATGTTGATAAATAGGGTAGCTAAGTACTCCTTGTTTTGGTATATAGGAAATCGTAAATAAAGTAAGAATGCATTTTTGGTTGCTAAGATAATACTTGAATGTTTCATTCCTGTTTAGTGGAAAGGATGGATAGCTTAGCATCTTAGTCATTAAAGTTAGCTTAGT